CATTACAATACATGGTTTGAAGCATGCAATGCTTTTCTTAATAGTTCTACATTATCACCACGTCTAAAATTTATAATCAATAATTTGATTGTGCATTTTGATTACTAATCAATACTTTATCGTTCGATGATATAATAATGATATAAGTGACAGTACCTGAATCAAACTCAATCACAAATTAAAATATATGCGTAATATTTACATATAAGTAATAAAATTTGACTACGATTCAATTAAATTTTGACCATAAATGCATCATAGGGTTTTTTTTCTTTGAATGTTCATTTTTCTGTATATTTCTGCGCACGAGCGAAATATGAAAAACACTGAATAGAAATCGATTTTTATGAGTAAAAAGTGTAACCAATAAAGTAATTTTGAATAAATCCATAAAAGTAAAGGGCAACGTTTCAGTGTAACTTTTTTATTTTATAAATTTACATATTTTTTTCAATTCGCTTGCGAGTATGCATGTGACGTAAATTCTGACTATTTTGGTTAATTCAATGTCGAATAAGTGTAAACCTTTTTGTGGTGGTATTCCTGTTATTCTCATCTGTAAGACGAATTCTATGTAGAAGTGCGGCAGTACAATTTTAGAAGATTATACAACTGCGCTGTTGCAAATAAAAATTGTTGATATATACGTACGTACATTTGCTGTTTTTTTTTTAAGAAATGGAACAAATTATTAACATTTTAAACAACTAAATTTCGATGAGTGCAAAAGATCGGCAGATGCAAACGAAGCAGACAGAATTTATTAGCTTGGTTATTGTTACAAATTCAGAATCGGTATTGAAAAGAATGAAAACGAAGCATTCTGTTATTACCAAAAATTTGCAGACCTAAATAATCCAAGTAGCTTGGATATTGTTATTATTTAGGAATTGGAGTCGAAAGTGATAAAAAAAAGCTTTTGAAAATTATCTAAAGTCAGCTGAGGCGGGTAATTCCAATGGGATTTGGAAAACCGCTTGGTGTTACTACTATGGAATTGGTGTAGAAGTAGAGTGGGTGGTGTACATATAATTTTTATGGTGCACCAAAAATATTTTTTTAGATGATTTGGTGTATAGTGCACCTAACGGTGCACCTATAATAAGTTTGTTAGAATTTATTCTTTTCTAAATTAGTTTTTTACTTAATTTTAATTGAAATTTTTTTTATTTTAATATAAATTTAATATATAATATATACATTAAATATATTAACTGAAATTAAATGGTGTTATGTAGATTTAGAATTAGGTTAAATTGTTACTTCAATAATTATACTTGTAAATAATCTAACTAGAATATATACATGTGAATACCTTTCAAAATTATGTTTGCATTTGTTTAAATAGTCTTTTTACAACTACTCTTATATTAATCTAACTAGAATATATACACATAAAATAACTTTATACGTATTGTAATTAACAAAATTGAATATAAGTTAATTTATTTTTTAATCTAAATTTTACTCATAAATGTTACATATTTATAGCTTCAATTCTAGAAATCAGCCTATTTAATCATATTGCAAATTCACAGATACTTACAGAAAATAAGAAAATATAACAGAGATATTTGAATAAAATTTTTAAAAAAGAATTAAATAACTAAGTATATCAGAATCTATTTGAATAGGTTTTAAATTCTATTCGAAATACAATATATATAAAGTATAAATAAATTTATTTACTAATTTTTTTTAAGAATATCCTCTAAAGTCCAATTAGTTGTATTTTTAGCTTTACCTAAATTTTCTTTTATGTTGTCTGATGTTAAAACCAATTCGTCAATTATATTAAAATTAATAAACTTTTCTATAAATAATTCTGAATTATTTTGCACAGATTCTAAGTAAATTTCTTGAATGTTATTAAACTCCAACTCATTATCTTCATCATTAATTAAATCTATCAAATCCAAAGAAAATAAAGTATTATAATCATCCAAATAATTGTTATCTTGTTCATTTCTAGTTAATAATTTTTTATCTAAGCATTTTTTAAAAACTTTTGCAGATAATACAAGTTTAATTTGCGAAATCATTTTTAATGTTGAAGTACTTAATTGATTTCAAATTTTGGTTTTTGTCATACTCATACGTGAAAAGAGGCATTCTACTTCAGTAGAATAAGGATGAATTGCATATATTTTTAATGCTAATATCTTTAATGCACCGGTTTGATAAGAAATCTGTTTCTAATAAGTTCGTGGTTCTAAGGTTGTTAAATTAAAAGATGGATCATTATTATAGTAATCTAATAATTTTTGTGAAATTTGCATGGCTTCTTTATATATAAAATTTCACATTTGTGCGAATGTTAATGCATAAACTACAATATCATCAAAGGTTAATTTTTTTGATATTGCAATTTTCTGAAATTTTGAATTCAAGAAAAATGCTAAATAATATATAGGTTCATCAAATTCTTTTGCACAGAAATTAACTATATCTTTTGTATGATCAATTAACCCATAATCAAAATCTTCAAATTCACTTGATTTTAATTTTTTATAAATAACTAACAATTTGGCATATATATCACCTAAAGTTGCATTATTAGACTCAAGCTCTGCAATTGCATCAACAATATATCGAAGAATTATAGTAAATTGTTCATTTTTAAGAAAATGTCAATGACTTGTAATTATTTCTTTAATTTTAGTTGGAATTGAAGAACATTCGTTAGGAAAGTTAGTATTATATTCAGGACAAGCTTGAAAACCACCTTCATGATTTTGAACTGAAAGACAAACTTTTGAAAGTGAATACCATCAAGTTTCACAAAAAGTTCGCAGCCTATTTTTAACATTATTTTCTAATGCCCATTGTTTTAATTTTATATTCCAAAAGTGTGAGCTTGTAAAAAAATTTACTAATGCTAAATTTTATTTAATTGTATTTTCATATTGTTGATTTGATGAAATTCCCTTTACAATTAAATTAAAAATATGTAAACAGCATTTAATACTAATAACATGTTGATATTTATCTGAAACAATTTTTCAAAGCTGTACTATAACTGAAGGACTATCTGTAACTATAGCAATAATTTTACTAAAATTTATAGAGTTATTTTTTAATGAATTTTCTATTACAATAAGTAAATTATCTGCATTGTGTTGGCTATTAGAAAAATCTTCAATATTGATAATTTCATTAACATCTTCAAATTTATGCAAAAGAAATACATATATAGAATTACTAGAAATATCCGTCCATCCATCAAGTAAAAGAGTCAAATCATATATTTCTTCAATTTGATCAATCATTTCACCTAATATTTGTGCATATTCTGACTAAAGTATTCTATGTGTTAATGTATACCTTGATAGTGGATTATAGCTTGAACATAAGTTCTTTAAAAATAAAATAAAGAACAGATTTTCAACAAATCTAAATGGAATATTGCTATATATTAAAGCTTGTAACAGCAAAGTATATAACTTATCAACTTTTTCTGATGACATGGTAGCTTTATTGAAATAATCAGTCATTAAAACTTCTTTGTGAGTAGAACTTTCAGTAACTTGTTCAGGTTTGTTTTTAATTATTCAAGAATAAAGTATTTTATTTTCAGCTGAAATTTTACAACAGTGATTGATTATATGATTTGCTATTGCTTCTTTACGTGCTTCAAATATTTGATTACAATATATACACTTTGTACTATAGCACCATGCTTTATTATTTTTAAATAAGGTAGGTGCGCAACGTAGTTGCGCTAAAACTAGGAACGGGATTAGTAAGAGGGATATATTTAAAGGGATAAAAGTATGGAAAATTTAAAATAGATTGAGGTTTAAAAATTGATATGTGAAATAAATCTATGTATACAATATAATGGATTTAAAATGAGATATGTTATGTAAAAGAAAAATATGGAAATTTTTTTAATAATTTATTTGATTAGATGAAATTAAAAAATTAAGTGCTTTGAATGTTATAATTTAAATGAATCTAATATAATACTTAATGATTTGATAGTGTGTGAAGTTAGTGATAGCGTTGAATGGCATATTAAGTGATAAATAATATTTACACTCGTATGTTAAATTATTCATATAAAATAATTTAAATGTCATCTGTAAAAATATTAATTTGAAATTTTAATATTTAGTAACCAAATATAATAAAGAGAGAATATTATGTATAAATTATTTTTAGTAATTGACATAGTTAAAATCGGTGCTGTTGCAAAAGGTGCAGTTCATGGTATGTTGTGCGAGATGTAATTATTGAAGATAATTTATATTGAAGAAAGGTTAAAACATGAAAAAAATTATACATTACATGTCGCTTAGTATTGTATAAGGAGTAAAGCCTTGTAATTATGGGGTTAATTATGTGTTAGAGTTAAATGTTGTGCGAGAGAAGTTAATGTGCAATTGATGTAATAAATTAAAGTTAAATAAGTAATATAAAGAGAATGAAAAACTAATAATTATTTATTTATTGATTTTTTGAATAGCTTTAATGAAATATTATTGAAATAAAAAAACTTTATCTTTGTAACTTGATCTTGGGTAATGTTTATTCGTATCTGTAGTTATCGAGAATTACAATATTAGTATTTGGTATTAAATAGAGCTATTGATGGTGTTAATTGGTTGCACGTGGTATGTAGTATTGGGTAGGGTTTGACGTAACATAATACAAATGAATGATATAATATGTCAGTGTAATTTAAAAGCTTATTATTACAGAGTTTCGATGTAGTTATATGTGATAAGTATATAATCGAGAGTCAACATTTTGCTTTGTTATAGTGTAATTTAATTTTGAGTGTTGAAAGTAGTGTGGTTGTTAGTTGAAGATGTTGATAGTTATGGAAGTAAGGAAGCAAAATAGGAAATGTAAATAAGTACATTTTATATAAAGATATTTAATTAATTATATAATATCTTACAATAAAGAAATCGGTAAATATGACAGAAACATATTATTGTAAAATTTTTATAATACCTTAAATGGGGAGTGAAAAGATATTAATATAAATTTTATTATATGTATTTTGTACAAATTGTATTAATTATGATATTGTATATAATTCTGAATTATTAAATAGTTATATATTGTTATTTATGAGTGATCAGGACTTGAGACTTGATTTAAGATAAGTTTATTGTAAAACGTGAATAGGTTATTTTAATGAGTTACAATAAGGACAGCTTTTTAAAAAAAGTATAACTAATATCTTAATGATTGGAATTATTGTGCAAGTTATGAAAGTTTCATTAATATATGAAATTAATGTTATGGTAGATATAATATACTAATATACTTTAGTTACATTACACATTATATATTATTTTTGTTAACTTTAATTTTATAATTGAAAACTATATTTTAATATTGTTGTTAGTTTTATAATACTACATAGTATTTTATTTATCTGGCCACTTTTCAAGTATTGTTGTTTTCTGCGCACATTCTTCAAGACATATAAATTCTGAATGTAGTGCTAGTGGTAATTTTGCATCTAATACAGATTCATTAAAAGGTCGCAGAATTAAAAGATTTTCTAATTTTTGTACACGAGATAACATTACATAAGCGCTATTGTGCGCACTATTACATGATAAATCAACAACTGTTTTTTGAAGAGTTTGACCTTGACATTTGAAATCAGTAAACACATAAGCAGGAGTTAGGTGAAGTTAAAAATGTTGGAAAGATCTTTTTATTTTAGATCCATCTCTTTTTTGAATAATATAAGTGCAACTACGTTTTATTAGATATATTAGTACACATTTTACTTGCAAATCTTTATAGGCTCCAGGTTTACGACCAGACAATTCAATAATGACATACTTAGGAGGTTTTTTTAATACTAATCCTTTTTCTTGTTGAGAAAAAAAATTGATAGATTCTTTGTCATATACTATTTGTTGAATAATATCTTGAGCACCATTTACTAAATTATTATTGACACAAATATTTATGGTGATAATAACTTTCATTTCAATAAATAAAGGTAAAATTCCACATGATGAGTTTTCTTTTGAATCAGATACTGATAAAAATTTTAGGCGATTAATTCCAGTTAGAAGTGTTCGATGGTAAGTATCTTCTGCATATGAATATACAATAGGTTTTTGAAGACGTTGTGCATGTTCTTTTGATGCTTCAAAATTTATTTTAATATGAATATCATTTCTTGAAACAAGAAAAGTTGCATCTGCCCATTCTGGGTTATTAATTTGATAATCACTAAGAATCTTGGATTGTAAAGTTGCCCGATGTTCTTCTGTAAGATGCCCACATCGCATACTTTTAAGGAGATCAGCATAGAAAGAATCATTTATTTGATGCATTAGTTTTTTTAATTGAATAACATGTTTAACATTTAACCAAAGATCTCTTCCTATTGCATTTATTACTGTATGATTATTTATTGATAAGGAATCTGTATTACACTTTTTTTTATTATTTTTTGAAGTGTCTTCTATATTATGAGACTTTAATAGATTAGATAGCTCAGTAATATGAGAGACCTTATTAGGCATATAGAGAGCTAGATCTAAAACAGGTGGCAGTTGCATAAAGTCACCTGAAAAAAGAATATTTAAACCAACAAATGGTGCTGAACAATTTGTTATTTTTACTTTTTTTGTAAAAGAATGAAATCATGCAAAAAGGTTTTGTCCTATCATAGATATTTCATCTATAATTACATATTCAATTTTAGACCAAATTTCTTGTAATTTATATAACATTTTATTTGTTATTGTATCAGCATTTTTACTATACTCTTTAAAGCCAAATCCACATGCGGAGTGAATTGTGTTACCTGAAATATTTGCTGCGGCGACTCCAGTAGGTGCTAAGACAATTAGTGTATGACGTTGAAGTATATGTTCAAAGTACATACAAATTAACTCAATAACTTTAGACTTGCCAGTTTTACCTGCACCAGTGAGATAAAGTAATAATTGTAATGGTTTAATATTATTATCTGGACTATTTCTTCGACGATGATCACATATAAGGAAGTATACTTTTTTTTGTTCATCATTTAATTCAGAAGCAAGTTTTTCAAGAATATCAGAATAGTTTTCTATAATGCCTGCTTCATATAATATGTTATTATGGGTAGTATATAACTGTTCTATATAGGAATATAATAAAATATTATTTTGTTCAATATTGGTATTATTATTTAATATTTTTTTCGAGAATTGATTGTTTCTTGCCATACTTTAATTAGCTCATCATCATAATTATTACTAATACGTAATCTTTTTTCAACAGCTATTAAATTTTATTAAATTGATTGAAGTTATTGGTATTGTTAAGGTTAAATATAAAATTGAATGAGTTGAACATTCCTCGAATATATAAAAAGCTCATAGCTTCATTAACAATACTAATATCTTTTAAACCAGATTTAACTACTATACCTATATTAAAACCAGTTATATATTTAATAGGGTTGTTTATTTTTATATTATCATAATAGTCAGTGAAATCAGAATCTTCATCAGTATCATACCCAGGTACAGAGCGATCAATTCGTTGTGCTTTTGCAAATATAGGATTATGTTTTGCTTTTTGCCTTAGATTTTTATCTAACTCTGTTTCTTCTAAACAATGATGTAGTAATTCAATATTATTAATTATAAATTTTAGACGTGGTGATAATGTAGAACTATTAAGAAAAGCATTGCATGCTTCAAACCATGTATTGTAATGTTCTCTAAGATTATAAACTGATTCCTATGGTTTAAAAAGTAAAAGAAT